CTAACATAGACTGTACAGATATAGGATAACTTTCACCTCATTGACTTGTACTCTGTAAAGGAAGCTCTGCGCTATTCCTACAGGTCTTGCCACTTCCTAAGATTCTGAATGGCTTTTTGTCTGTGTGGGTTTTCTGATGGCAACTGAAGGTGCTTCGATTGCTGAAGTGCTTTCCACACTCCCGGCATTTATACGGCTTCTCCCCAGTGTGGATCTTCCTGTGGCGAGAAAGCTGGGCGCTCTGCCGGAAGCTTTTGTGGCACTCCAAGCATTTGTAGGGTTTCTCCCCTGTGTGGGTTCTATTATGCTTAGTGAGGTGCTCTTTGATACGAAAGCTCTTCCCACATTCCACACATTTGTATGGTTTCTCTCCCGTGTGGGTCTTTGTGTGCATACGAAGGCTTCCACTCACACTGAAGCACATTCCACACTCCACACATTTGTATGGTTTCTCTCCTGTGTGGATTCTATTATGCACAGCAAGATAGCCTTTCACACGGAAGCCCTTTCCACACTCCAGGCATTTATATGGTTTCTCTTTCATGTGGGTCCTTTTATGCACACGGAGATTCCTCCTTGCACTGAAGCTCTTTCCACATTCCACACATTTATAGGGTTTTTCTCCCGTGTGGGTTCTCTTGTGCGCATTAAGTTCCCATTTTGTACTGCAGCCCTTTCCACACTCCACACATTTATGTGGTTTCTCTCCTGTGTGGGTTCTTGTATGTTCTGTAAGGTGTCTCCTCGCACTGAAGCTCTTTCCACACTCCAGGCATTTATATGATTTTTCTCCTGTGTGGATTTTTCTGTGCACTTTAAGGTGGGAACTCTCAGTGAAGGACTTTCCACACTCCAGGCATTTGTAGGGTTTTTCTCCTGTGTGGATTCTTGCATGCTCAGTTAGGTTTCCTCTCACAGCAAAACTCTTTCCACACTCCGAGCATTTAAATGGCTTCTCTCCTGTGTGGGTTCTTCTGTGCACTTTAAGGCCTGAACTCTCAGTGAAGGACTTTCCACAATCCACACATTTATACGGTTTCTCTTGCATGTGGGTCCTCTCATGCACACTGAGATTTGCCCTCGCACAGAAGCTCTTTCCACATTCCACACATTTATATGGTTTCTCTCCCGTGTGGATTCTTCTGTGCACTTTGAGGGATGCCCTCCCAGTGAAACTCTTCCCACAATCCAAACATTTAAATGGTTGTTCTCCCGTGTGAGTTCTTTTATGCACATTAAGTTTCCATTTCGTAGCACAGACCTTTCCGCACTCCACACATTTATATGGTTTCTCTCCCGTGTGGGTTCTTGTATGTTCAGTAAGGTGTCCTCTCTTCCTGAAGCCCTTTCCACACTCCTGGCATTGATATGGTTTCTCTCCTGTGTGGATTCTTCTGTGCACTTTAAGGCTTGAACTCTCAGTGAAGGACTTTCCACACTCCAGGCATTTATGGTGCAGTTTTTCCCCCGTGTGGTTTTTTTTGTGCTCGTTAAGATTCCATTTGGTACTGTAGCTCTTTCCACACTCCAGACATTTATATGGTTTGTTTCCTGTGTGGGTTCTTCTCTGCACATGAAGTTCCCCTTTCACACTGAAGCTCTTTGTGCACTCCACACATTTAAATGGTATCTCTCCTGTGTGGATTTTGGTATGTAGATCTAGGTTTCCTCTCACACTGAAGCTCTTCCCACACTCCACACATTTACATGTTTTTTTAATTGTGTGCATTACTCTGTGCGCTCGAAGGCTTGCACTCACAGCAAAGGTCTTTCCGCAGTCCTGACATTTATACGGTTTCTGTCCTGCGTGGGTTCCTTTATACGTTTTCTCCTTGTTCTCACTCTCCCTCCCATCTTTGCCTGGAACAGAAAGAAAAAGGAATATTTCAATAGTGAAAGGTTACTGCAACGCTCTCTACGTGGGGTTGCCTATGAAGACTGCCCGGAAGCTCCAACTAGTCCAACGTGCGGCAGCCAGAATGCTAACACGAGCAGGGTACAGGGAGCATACTACTCCTCTGTTGCGCCAGCTCCACTGGCTGCCAATTAGCTTCCGAGCACAATTCAAAGTGCTGGTGTTAACCTATAAAGCCCTAAACGACTCCGGCCCAGTTTACCTGTCCAAACGTATTATCCCCTATGAACCATCTAAGTTGTTAGGATCGTCTGGAGGGGTCCTGCTCTCGGTCCCACCGGCCTCTCAAGTGCGTCTGGTGGGGACGAGGGACAGGGCCTTCTCGGTGGTGGCCCCTCGACTCTGGAACTCTCTCCCACTGGAGATCAGAACTGCCCCCTCCATTCTGTCGTTCAGAAAACGGGTGAAAACCTGGCTATGGGGTTTGGCTTTCGACGAGTGAATCAATATTTCTGTGATCGGATGGATGACGATGAATGACGGACAACGAATTCACTATGACGACTGACCATTGTTATTATGTGATTGTATTTTGCTGTTATAACGTTTTAATTGAATATGTTATATGACGTTTTAAATTACTGTTTTGTGATATTATTGTTGGAAACCGGCCCAAGTCCCCCAATAGAGGGGAGAAGTCCGGTATACAAAATCGCTAAATAAATAAATCAGGGCCTCTGGCTTCAACCCCCTTCCCAAAACTTGCAGATTTACAACTGTTTATTTATTTAAAACTTTTGTATCCCAATCTTCTCTATCTCCGTAGATGGACTCAGACCAACTAACAGCAAGTATTCAATGCTCACAAACAAACCTTTAAAACATTACATATAAACAATAAGTTAAAAATACATATCAGATAGAAAGCATAATAAAACATTTGCCAGGATCAAAACGACGTCCAACTCAGTCCGTACATTGTGGTCAATATCTTAGTCAATTACGGGTCTCAGCCATCATTTTGCAAATGCCTTGATCCACAACCAAGACTTCACTTGCTTCCTAAAGGTCAGGAGGGAGGGGGCAGATGTAATTTCATTCGGGAGAGATTTCCATAGCCAGGGAGCCACCACAGAAAAGGCCCTGTCTCTCGTCCCCACCAAACGCGACTGCAAAATGGGCAGGACCGAGAGCAGGGCCTCTCTGGAAGATCGTAACACCCTTGATGGTTCGTAGGGGAGAATACGTTCGGACAGTTTTGACACCACTTCAATCGCCATGGAATCTTGGGAATTGTAATGTTACAAGAACCTTCTCTATCGAAGTGTGATTGTGTTATGCCACACTACAACACCCAGGATTCTATTGCATTTAGCCATGACAGCTAAAGTGCTGTCGAACTGCATTGATGCTACAAGGTAGTTGAACCCTTGGTAAGCTTTTGGATCAGGCATCGGCAAACTTTGCCCTTCTTTTGTTTTGGACGTCAACTCTCACAATTCCTAAGCTTGTTAGGAATTGTGGGAGTTAAAGTCCAAAACACTTGGAGGACCAAAGTTTGCCCATGCCTGTATTACATCCTTCTTGATGTTATGTCCTGGTTTCCATAGTCATAGACTAATGCTCAAACCAGCACAACTCACTTGGTTACTTATTACCGTATATTTATTTACGACATTTATATGCTGTATATCCTATTGATTTTCAGTTTCATTATCGGCTCTTGTGGACGGAGTAAATGTTACTATTGCCAAGTGGTATTTTCTGCTATAGCTTCTTTCATAAAAAGATAAGGCTTTGGTTGTGTTGGGGGAAAACCAACAGCAACACATATCCACTCAGAGGGCTCCCAAATTCTAGGAAGATATATAGCAAAAAGTCCCCCCAAAAACTCCCCTAAAACCTGCCCAAAGGACTTGTAAGGTTCAATACTCATTCCTGCAGATGTTTTGAGGACACTTCTCAAGACACTGCTAGGTCCTCCAGTGCAGTTCTATGGTATGGCCATCAGTTGGGGTGCTTTGAATGCAATTTTCCTGCTTCTTGGCAGAATGGGGTTGGACTGGATGGCCCTTGAGGTCTCTTCCAACTCTATGATTCTATGCTTCAGCGTGAAGCCAAAGACAGGGTTCTCTCTAGACATTGTGTAATCCTATCTTTCTTATCTAAAATGAATCATAGAGTTGGAAGAGACCTCGTGGGCCATCCAGTCCAACCCCCTCTCCAGCTACTTCAAAGATAACCACATGAAGCCTAACCCTGCCAAGACACAAGTGTGTGCTTTCCTCCAACGTAACCGTGATGCCAACAGGAAATTGAAAGTTACCTGGGAAGGCCAAGAGCTTGAACATTGTTTCCTTCCTAAATATCTTGGTGTCACCTTAGATGGGAAACTAACATATAGGAAACAATGCATGAACACCAAGCACAAAGTAGCTGCACACAATAACATCCTGTGGAAACTTACTGGCAGCACATGGGGTGCAGACCCAAACTTAATAAGAACATCAGCCCTGGCCTTGTCTTACTCAACCACCGAGTATGCCTGCCCTTCGGCTTAGAAATGGAGATGAGCACCACACCCCAGAGTCAGACATGACTGGACTTAATGTCAGAGGAAAAACATTACCTTTAACCTAGATCCAAATGACAATCTGGAAAAAAGGTACAATCTTGACGAATCCTCTGCTTTTTGCGACTGTGGAGCAGAACAAACAACTCAGCATCTGTATGCCTGTCCGCAATGTCCTGCCTCATGCACAGAGGAAGAATTGTTGGAGGCTACAGACAATGCGGTTGCTGTTGCCTGTTTTTGGTCAAAAGATATTTAGCTGCTTGTGCTCCTTCTATTGTTATCAGTTTTATACTAGTATACGCAATGCTTTTGATACAAAATAAATACAATTATTGCTTCTCTTATTTCCCTGTAATTTCCTATTCCCTCTCTTTGTACTAAGACTGCCATTTCTTTTGTTATAACCCAATCAGGTCCTAATATTTGGTGTGACACATTTTGTGTTGTCTGCTAGAAGCATTGTATCCCTAAGAGGTCCTATTCTCCACCCAAGTTGCCTTCCCCCAAATACAGCCACACTCCCTCCTTAACCTAAGGAAAGGGAGATGGAAATGACAGGCTTTCGGATACCTGAGAAAGAGGGACGAAGAGGAAGCAGGCTCCACTCATTTTCACTCAGCACCTTTGCGCTCCCGTTGCCCTCCTCCTTCACCACCCACCGGAGGGGTGCTCCCTGCTTGGTGTCTGGCTCAACCTCATTGGCTTCTCCTCCTGAGTTTACTTTGCATTGATCCGGCTTTACATCAGGACCAAGAGCGTCCTCCTCGGGGGTCTTCTCCCCAGCAATTCCCCAGGGTCCGCCATCGCTTCTCCCAGCCGGGGTGACGTCAAGGTCTTCTCCTGGTTCCTTTTTGCATTGCTCTGGCTTTACATCAGGGCCAAGAGCGTCCTCCATGGGAGTCTTCTCCTCATCATTTCCCCAGGGTCTGCCATCACTTCTTCCAGCCGGGGTGACATCAAGGTCTTCTCCTGGTTCCTCTTTGCATTGCTCTGGCTTTACATCAGGACCAAGAGCATCCTCCTCGGGGGTCTTCTCCCCAGCAATTCCCCAGGGTCCGCCATCACTTCTCCCAGCTGGAATGACATCAAGGTCTTCTCCTGGTTCCTCTTTGCATTGCTCTGGCTTTACATCAGGACCAAGAGCATCCTCCTCGGGGGTCTTCTCCCCAGCAATTCCCCAGGGTCCGCCATCACTTCTCCCAGCTGGAATGACATCAAGGTCTTCTCCTGGTTCCTCTTTGCATTGCTCTTTCTTTACATCGGGGTCAAGAGCGTCCTCCTCGGGGGTCTTCTCCCCAGCAATTCCCCAGCGTCCGCCATCGCTTCTCTCAGCTGGGGTGACGTCAAGGTCTTCTCCGGGTTCCTCTTTGCATTGCTCTGGCTTTACATCGGGGTCAAGAGGGTCCTCCTCGGGGGTCTTCTCCCCAGTAATTCCCCAGGGTCCGCCATCGCTTCTCTCAGCTGGGGTGACATCTAGGTCTTCTCCTGGTTCCTTTTTGCATTGCTCTGGCTTTACATCGGGACCAAGAGCGTCCTCCTCGGTGGTCTTCTCGCCAGCAATTCCCCAGGGTCTGCCATCGCTTCTTCCAACCGGGGTGACATCAAGGTCTTCTCCTGGTTCCTCTTTGCATTGCTCTGGCTTTACATCAGGACCAAGAGCATCCTCCTCGGGGGTCTTCTCCCCAGCAATTCCCCAGGGTCTGCCATCGCTTCTCCCAGCTGGGGTGATGTCAAGGTCTTCTCCTGGTTCCTCTTTGATCGCCAACGTGTTGCAGTTAAACATCTTCTGGCAGTGAATGCAGGATCAAGCTCCATCCATCCTATAGTATAGAGATACACACAAGACCACAAAGTAAGGTACTATAAGTACAGCAAATCCTCTGTATCAGCAGATACCGCCATCCACGGCTTGCAAATAGTAAATACTACAAACAAGGTGCCATTCTACTGCTGTTGGGGGGGGGGGGAGGGAGAGGGATAATTCCCCCCTCCAAAAAAAGGAAAAGGCATTCAGAAAGGGTAAAGCAAAAGCAGAGGCAGTTCAGAAAGTTTTAGTGCCAGGAGGAGAGCGATTGAGCTTCAGCAATTCAGGAGCAGAGTCCAGCTTGAAAAAGCTATAGATGACTTACCTCAAAGATTCATAGAATTCTTGAGTTGGAAGAGACTTTGTGGGCCATCTAGTCCAACCCCATTCTGCCAAGAAGCAGGAATATCACGTTGGATGGCCATCCAACCTGTTTAAAAGCCTCCAAAGAAGGAGCCTCCAACCACACTTTGGGGCAGAGAGTTCCACTGCTGAACAGCTCTCAGAGTCGGGAAGTTCTTCCTCATGTTCAGGTGGAATCTCCTTTGCCGTAGTTTGAAGAGCTACATAATAAGATAGGAAAGTAAAACAGAACCTATCTGTCTGTCTGTCTGTCTATCTATCTATCTATCTATCTATCTATCTATCTATCTATCTATCTATCTATCTATGCATCTTGCCTCTCTCCATGCTCACAGGAGAAGAACAAAAGGGAGAACTCTACCCCTTGGCATAGGCTGAAATCTATATAAATAAAAATGTAATGTTCGTTTGTGGTATTCACAGAACTCAAAAATCACTGGGGCAATTGGCACCAAATTTGGATACGATACACCTAACAACCCAATGTATGTTCTCCACTAAAACAAAATTGATTTTGTCATTTGGGAGTTGTAGTTGCTGGGAGTTATAGTTCACCTACAATCAAAGAGCATTCTGAACCCCACCAACGATGGAATTGAACCAAACTTGGCACACAGTTCTCCCATGACCAACAGAAAATACCGAAAGGGTTTGGTGTGCAGTGTCCTTTGATTTTGGAGTTGTAGTTCACCTACATGCAGAGAACACCGTGGACACAAACAATGATGGATCTGGACCAAACTCTACACGAATACTCAATATGCCCAAATGTGAACACTGGTGGAGTTTGGGGAAAATAAACATGACATTTGGGAGTTGTAGTTGCTGGGAATTGTAGTTCACCAACAATCACAGAGCATTCTGAACCCCACCAACGATAGAATTGGGCCAAACCTCCCACACAGAACCCCCATGTGGGCCACAGCAACGCATGGCAGGGGACTGTTAGTATTTTATATAGAAATGTCTTTGCATCTCTTGTTATGTCTTCCAGCAACTCTTTGAAACCTTTCTTAAAAGCATGCCTCCTTTGAGTCCTTAGCCGAAGAACTTCCTGACTGTGAGAGCCATTCAGCAGTGGAACTCTCTGCCCCGGAGTGTGGTGGAGGTTCCTTCTTTGGAAGCTTTTAAACAGAGGCTGGATGGCCATCTGTCAGGGGTGATTTGAATGCAATATTCCTGCTTCTTGGCAGAATGGGGTTGGACTGGATGGCCCAGGAGGTCTCTTCCAACTCTGATTCTATGATTCTATGAAATATTTTTATCTAATTGTATATACAGTATGAAGATGATCCATCCCTGCCTTATGGTGCTTCAATGATGACCAAGCAGGCTTGGGAAATGCAACTTGAGGGTGCATCTACACGGCAGAATTAAAGCAGTTTGATACCACTTTCCACTGCCCTGGCTGAGTGCTAGGGAGTCCTGGGAGTGGTGGTGTCTGCAAGGTCTTGAGCCTCCTCCTTCCCTCCAAACTACATCTCCCAGGGCTCCACAGCACTCAGCCAGGGCATTCAAAAGTGGGGCCAAACTGCACCCTTACTTACTAAAAGTAACGAGTTCCTAGTAACGACACTGCAGGCAACGCGTTACCTTCTCTCTTTCTTCCAGCTCTCCTCTTCACCCAGTTTGGAAAAGAACTCCTTCTTCCTCATTGCTGGCCACGCCCCCTTCTTCCTTTGACCAATCAGCAGCGCGTGAGGGGAGAGCTCCTGCCAATGTGCTTCTTTCTCTCCACCTTCTGATTCAGTGGGGCATCCCCGGAAGTGACGTTGGGGATTCCCTCCCCTCCTCTCTAGGGCTGCCCACTCTGTCATTTTAACCCTTTCTGGAGCAGCAATAATATGGATGGATGGATGGATGGATGGATGGATGGATGGATGGATGGATGGATGGATGGATGGATGGATGGATGGATGGATGGATGGATGGATGGATGGATGGATGGATGGATGGATGGATGGAGGATGCACAGATGGATGGACGGACGGACAGACAGACAGACAGATAGACAGACAAATTGAGAGATGGATGGATGGATAGATAGATAGATAGATAGATAGATACATAGACAGATAGATAGATAGATACATGATAGATACATAGACAGATACATAGACAGATCAATAGATAGATAGATAGATAGAGATAGACCCACATTACTGGGCACCACAATTCAAGAGAGATATTGACAAGCTGGAATGTGTCCAGAGGAGGGCGACTAAAATGATCAAGGGTCTGGAGAACAAGCCCTATGAGGCGCGGCTTAAGGAGCTGGGCATGTTTAGCCTGAAGAAGAGAAGGCTGAGAGGAGATATGATAGCCATGTATAAATATGTGAGAGGAAGCCACAGGGAGGAGGGAGCAAGCTTGTTTTCTGCTTCCTTGGAGACTAGGACGCAGAACAATGGCTTCAAACTACAAGAGAGGAGATTCCATCTGAACATGAGGAAGAACTTCCTGACTGTGAGAGCTGTTCAGCAGTGGAATTCTCTGCCCCGGAGTGTGGTGGAGGCTCCTTCTTTGGAAGCTTTTAAACAGAGGCTGGATGGCCATCTGTCAGGGGTGATTTGAATGCAATATTCCTGCTTCTTGGCAGAATGGGGTTGGACTGGATGGCCCATGAGGTCTCTTTCAACTCTTTGATTCTATGATTCTATGTCTTCTAGCAGTTAAAGCAGCGTGAATCTACATCCATTCTACAGTATAGAGGTACACCCAAGTCCAGAAAGTTAGGCCTATAACTATAAGCAACCCTCCATATGCATAGATACCACAATTCACAGCTTGAAAACAGTAAATAGTAAAATAGAAAATCAAAACCAAGGTAACAACAACATGTGTTATAGAACTCCAATATGCTGATGATAACATAGCCTGTGCACATTCAGAAGACCTACAAGCCACTCTCAACACTTTTGCAGAAGCTCAGCCTGTCATCGAACATCAAGAAAACTAAAGTGATCTTCTATCTGTCACTAGCCAATCCCTCTGCAATGCCGGATATACAGATTAATAATGTAACATTAGATCTTCTTCCTGGTGGGAAATGAAGAATGGGGTTGGACTGGATGGCCCATGAGGTCTCTTCCAACTCTAGGAGTCTATGATTCTATGATAGGGATAGACTCCCTTTCTCTGTATACACACACACATTATCTATCTATCTATCTATCTATCTATCTATCTATAGTGAAATATATATATAAAGGTAAAGGTTTTCCCCTGACATTAAGTCCAGTCGTGTCTGACTCTGGGATGTGGTGCTCATCTCCATTTCTAAGCCGAAGAGCCACCGTTGCCCGTAGACACCTCCAGGGGTCATGTAGCCGGCATGACTACATGGAGCGCTGTTACCTTCCTGCCACAGCAGTACCTATTGATTTACCCACATTTACATGTTTCCAAACTGCTAGGTTGGCAGAAGCTGGGGCTGACAGCGGAAGCTCACGCCACTCCCTGGATTCGAACCTGCAACCTTTCGGTCAACAAGCTCAGCAGCTCAGTGCTTTAACTCACTGTGCCACCGGGGGCTCAAAATATATATATTATATATATAGAGAGAGAGGAGCTTGGGGAAGGAAAAAGAAAGAGGGGCCGACCAAGGGCAAGATGGATGGATGGCATCCTTGAAGTGACTAGACTGACCTTGAAGGAGCTGGGGGTGGTGACGGCCAACAGGGAGCTCTGGCGTAGGCTTGTCCATGAGGTTACGAAGTCGGAAATGACTGAACGATTTTTTTTTGTCGTGTCAGGAGTGACTTGAGAAACTGCAAGTCGCTTCTGGTGTGAGAAAATAGGCTGACTGCAAGGACGTTGCCCAGGGGATGTCCGGATGATTTGATGCTTTATCATCCTTGTGGGAGGCTTCTCTCATGTCCATGCATGAGGAGCTGGAGCTGAAATATACCTAATAAAATATATACATAGCAAATACACATAATAAAAGTGAAAATATGTATGTGTGTATGTGGCTGGGCCATCCACTTACACGGATAATCTCCCACTTCCACAAATACCTATAGCATTCACTCAGCCCCCAGTGGTGCAGTGGGTTAAACTGCTGAGCTGCTGAACTTGCTGACCAAAAGTTCGCCTGTTCAAATCCAGGGAGCAGGGTGAGCTCCTGCTGTCAGCTCCAAGTTCTGCCAACCTAGGAGTTCGAAAACATGCAAATGTGAGTAGATCAATAGGGACTGCTCCAGCAGGAAGGTATTGGCGCTCCATGCAGTCATGCCAGCCACATGACTTTGGAGGTGTCTACAGGCGATGCCGGCTCTTCAGCTTAGAAATTGAGATGAGCTCCAACCCCCAGAGTTGGACACAACTGGACTTAATGTCAGGGGGAAACCTTTACCCACCAGCCAGGCGCCACCGAAGACCCTCCCTCCAATGACATGGCAAGTTATAGTGAATGCTATGAATATGTGCAAGAGCCCCGGCAGTGTCTTCTACGAACACCATCCTGCCCACCACCCAAGTGAAGGCTTTCATATGGAGACAATTTCATCCTAGATTTTATGTGTTTCCTCCACCACAGACATCCCAGTGTTCCCGACTCTCTCCATTGCTGTGGAATTTGCATGACCTCGCCCACTGCCTCACCCACTACCCTTTCCTATTCATTTCTATGGCAGTCAGCAAACAGAGGACCTGATCAGCAACTGAACATACTAGAGAGGTTTGGGGATAGTTCATTATGATTTATAGAAGTTGTAGGGACTAGGACGTATAGTTCACCTGCAATCTAAGAGCACTCTGAACTCCACCAATGATGGATCTGGAGCTCACTTGGCACACAGAACCCTCATGACCAACAACAAATACTGGAGGGATTTAGAGGAGTTATAGTTCACCTACACCCAGCGAGCACTATGCACCCAAACAATGATGGATCTGGGCCAAACTTGGCATGCATACCCGATATGCCCAAATTGGAATGCTGGTGGGTTTTGAGGGAAATTGGCCTGCACATTTTGGAATTGTAGGTCCTGGTGAAAGGGTCTTTGAGAGAAATTTGCAAATACTAAGTAAGGGGCTTTGAATGAAATTAACAGCAAAAGAGAGACATACCCTTTCTCTGTAGAAAAAGAGCACCACGGAAGAAACAAGATATTAAGGTACTTTCTTACACAGGATGCTTGTGGTTAACTTCAAAGGTTGTTTTTTGAAGCGCAGAGGCCGCATGTACAAGAAGGTACTTTCCATCAAAAGGTCAAGAGAGGGGGCTGGAAAGAGGATACTTTCCATGACAAAAAAATGTTCTTGTTTACTTGGGGTTATATATTTGGTGGTCAAAAGCCAAGGGGGACGGCAGTCACTTGAAGGGTAGCATCTGTGCATGCTACCCGGCTGTCCGTCTTCTTCATGAAGAAACTAAAATAAACCTTGTTTTTTTAATCTTTTTTGGGACTGTCTCCTTCCTTTCGTGCTCCCGCGACATGGACCTAAAAAGACCCAATTTAGGGTCTCTAACACTGGGATATATTGTTCACCTGCAATCTATGAGCACTCTAAACTCCACCGTTGGAATTGGACCAAACTTGGCACACAGAGGCCCCATGACCAGCCAAAAGTCCTGGAGGTCTTTGGGGAAATTCCTTGATTTGGGGGAGTTGTAGTTCTGTGACTTCCACCATATAGCCCGAAAAACCTACAACAACCCAAACGTCACAACGTCTGAGGATGCTTGCCACAGATGCAGGCGAAACGTCAGGAGAGAATGCTTCTAGAACATGGCCATAGAGCCCAAAAAACCTACAACAACCCAGTAAAAATAACAAGTGAAAAAACAGCTTAAAGAAAAACCAGAGTATAAAGATATACTTCACAAAAAGTCCGGATCCTGGGAACTAAAAACGCAAAAAGAGATAGCTCAAGATTTTAAGAACGTTTCATGGCTGCAATATGCCCAGATTAAGGAAAGCTTTAGAGAAGACAGGAAACTAGGCTTTGGGGAGGAAACAGATCTGTGGGATAGACTCCATAAGAGGGAAAGAAAAATTATAACAACCATATACCAAAATCTGTTGGGGTGGGCCACCGAAACAGAAATTATTAAGAACTCAATGGTCCTTTGGGCAAGAAATATAGGGAGAACCATCCATTTAAGGGAGTGGGAGACTATTTGGAAGAAAAGGCTTAAATATACCTACGCCTCAGATCTAAAAGAGAACTGGCTGAAAATGCTACACCGTTGGTACCTAACCCCACAAAAGATAGCAAAAATGTATGGAAACGTAGACAACAGGTGTTGGAAATGTAAAGTGAATGAAGGGTCCTTTTATCACCTATGGTGGCAATGCCCAAAGGCGAAAGTGTTCTGGAAGACGCAATACATAATGAATGTAGGAAAATCCTTAAGATAAAATACCCAATGTGCCCAGAAGCGTATTTATTAGGAATGTATGACAACTCTGTTTTTCCTGATAATAATTCAGAAAAGTTATTTACTTTCTTAGCAACTGCAGCCAGGATGACATTCGCCAGCTTGTGGAAGCAAGACAAGATACCTCCATAATGCAATGGCGGGATAAAGTGATTGACATCCAAGAAATGGACGAACTTACTTATTGGCTGAGGCAAAATAATGGAAGAGGATCGGAGAGGACTGACTGGAGCTTATTCAAGAACTATGTAGAAAAGGAAGTTCAGTGATATGAAATTATTAATGTCTGAAAAATGGAGGACGTTAGAAATGTAATAGATACACTGTAACAAGAAATGATATAAGAATGAATGAATAGGAGGGGAA